AAAATGTAAATCAGTAGAATTTTTGACCAAAAAAAGAAGGAAGAAAACATCGCGGAGATCGCTTCTCCCCGTGCGCGCACGAGGAGTTCGCTTTTTTTATTATTATTATAAAAACTAGACAAAACAAAAGAATTCCAACTAAACATTCATACAATTAAACAAGTATTTTTACATTTACAATTTAAAACAAATATTTTATTAGTAATTAATAATCATCTTCAAGGACACAATTAAACAAGCAATGAAATTGGGTGTCGTAATGAATTTTAAGATGCGGTTCGTTTGCTTCATTTTCTTCTTTGATTTCTTTCTTCAAACAGAGCATATCTGTTAAATCTGGTAAGCTCATTGCAATACCAGTGAATATTGAAAAACTGTTAAAATCGGTAAGCCTGTGTTCAATCCGGTAAGGTGTGTGCAATACCAATAAGCTCGGTGTCAAACAGGTAATTTCAATTTTCTGATTTTTTCTTTCATTCTCCTTAAACCAAAAACCAATAAGATCGTGCCAATGAATCACAGAATAATGAATTATTATCGTAATGAAGAAAATTGACTGAATTGGAAGATCCTAGTAGGATTTATTTTGGTTTGTGCAATTCCATTTTCCCATGGAACTCCCAATTGTAATGATGGTAAGTCCAAATAAAGAATGGCAAAATACACGATTTAGTATTGAATTGTAACATCCGTAACACGGTTAGTGTGAAATTGGGTAAACAATTGTAATTGCTTTATTGTCTTTTGCCAGCGAACAATTTCTCCAGTCAACAGTTGCGCGAGTGCATCCTCTTCAGTCAACAATTGTAGGAATGATAAAATAGGGAAGAAAAACGCTACAGAAATGAATAGTAAACGGCTGGTTGGCTCTTTCGTTGTGGGAAGGATAAAATGGAAAAGAAAAAAATAGTTAAACAAGGATAAAATGAGAAAGACAAATGCTTCACAAATGAACAATAACATCCGGATGGGGATAAAGTGGGGAAAACCATTAATTGGTGGGAATAAAATAGGAAGACAAAATGCTTCNNNNATAAAATAGGAAGACAAAATGCTTCAGAAATGAATGGTGAACTACAGATTGGCTCTTTTATATTAGTAGAGATTACACAGAATTGAGCTCTAAGGAAGTTGAATTTACTTTGGCGTGGATAAGCCCTTCCTTATCTTAGGACGAATTAGCACTTAAAATGGTATATAGGGTATATCTCTTATCTATTGTTCACGAATCTGTTTGACGTATTATTCAATTCATTCGTTCACTTATCTTGTCAATGGTTTATTAGTTACCTTTGTTTTCAAGGTAAAGTTTGTCTTAAACCACTGATATTAAATATCAATCTGGATGACCACTAAATTTATTAGACCAAATAACATTATTTAGGTGAGATAATTGAAATCTAAACCATTTTCATAATTCATTAAATAATGTTATCTAGCACCGATTGTATTTAATAATAGTCTTTAGCAAGAAATGTATACATTCAACAAACATGAAGAACGTCTATATAAAGAAGAATACATCCAAAAGGCAGAAGGCATATAAAGAAAAGGGATAATTGTAGCAAAAATATCAAAGCTTTCAAATAATAGTAGACTTTTCGAAAACCTTTAATTTGTTGCAGCTGTCACCCCTAATCTTTTCAAACGTTGCAGGTGAAGCACTTCTGGACAGTTTTCATCCACAATTCCATCAATTGACCAAAAATTTGACTTTGACCATCTTTTTAATATTTTAAGAAGAAGCAAATGAGTAATTTTATATTTATCACATTACATAATTAAACTAATTAAATTATAAAAAAAGAAATAAAAAATAAAAAAAGACAATCGTCTTCTTCCTCTCACCCACCACGCTCACCCCCTCCTCCACCTCAAACCCAAAATTTATGTCTCAATCCTACTCTCACCACTTCCATTTTCAAAGCTTTATCACTATACCAACAATTTCTGTCTCTCTCTAACACAAAATTGAGAAGTACAAATGGGTTCTTCGGTACCGCAATTTGAAGAATTGAATCAGTACCCTGAATCTACTTCCTCTTCATCCAAAATCTTACCAATACTTGGGCCAAAACTTGAATCCATTGATGAACACTCCCCCTATCTACAACCCCTTCCGACCCCAATTTATGCTATGACTTTCACCTCATTTATGAGCTCTTCCAAAATGCTTTCGCCGATCCTGATTACAGCGCCATTGTTCCTGTCAAAAAACTCGGAAACCCAACTGTCAAATTTCACTATACCGGCTCAGAGAGCTCGCCAATACATTCGAGGCGCTCTTCCGATCTAGTCTGTGTCACTGATCACAAGCCCAGGGATCTACACCACTTCTGGAACCTAATTCGCCGGACCCTGATGCTACATTATGTACATTATATATGCCAGTCGTGTGGAGGTGGAGGTGGAGTTGGCGGTGGTCGATGGCTAATTTTGAGTGAAGGGGTGGGGCGTGGTGGGCGAGAGGAAGAAGACGGTTGTCTTTTTTTCTCTTATTTCTTTTTTTTTTTAATTTAATTATGTAATGTGATAAATATAAAGTTACTCTTTTGCTCCTTAAAATATTAAAAAAGTTGTCAAAGTTAAATTTTTTGTCAACTGACGGAATTGTGGATGAAAACTGTCCAAAATGGCTTCACTTGCAACGTTTGAAAATGTTAGGGGTGACGATTGCAACAAATCAAATGTTTGAAAAAAGTCTGCTACTGTTTTAAAGGTTTGGAGCTTTTGCTACAATTATCCCTAAAAAAAAGGCATAATCATTATTTTACCCAGCATTCAAGTCTTGATTTTGGTATAAATATTCATGCCAGAGACTAAACAAATGTCGAAAAGAAATTAAGTATAACACACACAATTAGCTAGGGTGTGTTTGATGACTTTATTTTTTATAAAAAATGTCATTTTTTCACCTTAAATCCTACTTTTGGGTGTTTGATTGGTAATTTTTCATGCAAAATATTTTTCAAAATCGGTCACGTGACCATATTTTTCTCAAAAATAAGGAAAATATTTTCTTTAGAAAGTAGGTTTTTATTTTTCAAGCAATTCACACTTCCCAAAAATTCTTACCCACACACTTTATCTCATCTACCCACAAACAAAATCGTTACCTCCCATCTCTCTCTCTCTCTCTCTTGTCTACCTACAAAAACAAATCAAAAAGAAGAACCAAAGGACACAAACCTCATTCTATTTGCATCTCCT